CTTTTCTGAGTGTCAATTAGTAATTCCCATTGGTGTTGCAAAGGTTGAACGGAGTAAGTCAGACACCCAGGTTCAAGTGCCTAGCACAAAGGAGGTACCAATGGTTGTTTCTGGCTAGTTCCCTTGCTTTATGAAAAGTGGGGTCCTGGAGGAAAGAGAGACCATAAGTATTTTGCTATCTGGGACTTACCCAATGGTTCTGTGCTAGAACAGAGAACGGTTGCAAGCCCCATTTCCATGCAGCACGAAGCATTTTGATATTGAGCTGGGATTAATCCCAACTCTGTCTGCAGTCCCCACCGTGACAGCGGGAGGGGGCAGGGTTGCCACTTTTTGCCCTAACCATCTACTTGTTGAGTCAGGGGTGTGTGTGTGTGTGTGTGAGTGAGGGATCTAGCAGATAAGGAACCCAAGAGAACGGTGACAAATGAGGTGACCAGGTGAGTCACAGACCAAGGAAAGGAGCAGCAGCTCACCGAAGCACAGCTTCACCCGAGCTCCTCACTGAGTACAGTCCTGGAAGCACTAAGGCACAGTCCCAGGTTTCAGACAGCAACTTCTCTTACTGAACAGAATCCTCTGGCCATGTCTTTTACAAGTCAAAGTCTGCCTGCACCCACCGGTTGTAAACCAAGCTGGCTTGCAGCAGGACTGGCCCGGCTGCCTCATTCCTCTGTGAACAGTCCTCAGACAACTGCCCTGGCCTGTGATATTGGTTCTCAACAGCCCCACACCCCACACTGCCATCACTCACACACACCTGTCTGCTCCTGCCCCAGGCCTGCCACCTGCACTCCTGTAGCTGTTGAGCAAACACCTGTTTCCTAGATCCTGCACCTGTGCCTGCCAGGGGCTAATGCTCCCATTACATCTGCCCTGGGAGAGGCCTGTTCCTTTCCTTCTGCTCCTTGTCCCAGCTACTCAAGCCTAATTTGCCATCCCAGGAAGGACCGTTCAGAATAAAAGCCAGGTGGCATCCTGGGAGGGAGGACCTATGTCCAGGAGGGGCAGACAAGGGCCTTGTGTAGGTATCTCCCCTTTCATCTGCTTGTCCTGGCCACCATCACTCCTCAGAGCAGAGTCAGGTGTGAAAAATATTCTACTGCTGTCCGCCTCCCCTGCAAAATGCCCTTCCTTTTGCCCCCTGCACTTCTGTACACCTATCGAACCAAGAAAATTCTGGGGTTTGGCAAGGGGAGGGAGGTTGGCTGCATGGGGAAGATGTTATCAATTGCCAAATTCTCCATCCGTTTGGCTTGACTTTGATAACTGCTGTGCGGTTCTTTCCAGTCAAGACAGATGAATTCTTAGAGAGTGCTTTGTTTCCTGTTGGTTTATGCATTCCCCTGGGGCTATGACTAATTGTGGAACAGGGGTCATTTTGTTTGGGAACTCTCTTGAGAGTTTTCTGGTAGTACCCCGTCCATAGCATTTTCCTGAGTATCGGGGAATGGAGAAAGCCAGAAAAGGAGTGCGCTGTGATCAAGACTGGGTCACATTTGTATTACCCCAGTTGGCAAGAATGGAGTCTCATGTTTTGAAGTACACACGTGCCTGCACAAGAACACACCTAAAGCACCTGATTCTTCATTTTGAGTTTTAATCTCACCTCCTACATTTTACTTAAACTAGACTTCCACTGGTCTTCCTTGCAAGCATCTCCCTTGCAGGCCAGTGGCCACTCGACATGTTCTCAGGGGTCTGTGGCAAAGACGTAACAGAATTCCCAACTTTTGGCTCCTCTTTGTCCACTAGACTCAAGGCTGTGGCTAATCCCACCCATCCTTGCTTCCCAGCACCTGCATGAGGCCTGGTCTAAAGGAGGTGCTGACTAAACACCTTTGCATGGATTGGTCAGTTTGAGGTTAAGGATTTGAGACAGATGCACTTACATGTCCCAGGGGGAAACAGACTGGCTGTCGCCTGACTTGCTAGTCCTCTGTAGTGATCAGGCCAGACAGCAGGGTGGGTCTCCATCAACTGAAGTATTTGCTTATCTCCAGTGTATAGTCAAGGAAACATGAAAGTGTTGAAATGTGAGCTCTTTAACCTGCTTATTCTTGATTAATGTCTCAACTATTTCAAAGTTTCCCTGAAGGGATCTCATTTTATATATTTAGTGGGAATAAATGGGCCATGGGTGAACCCATGAGATTAACTGGTGGCCAAAGTGATAACTTTTCAGGTATGGTAGCACCTTCAAAAGTTGAAAGTCAAGAAGAGATATTTGTGCAAGTAACACCTTGAAGAGGGCCCTTTGGCTGATTAGTCTTAGCCCTGAGCAGGTTTCTGCTGGTCCCTAGGGAGAGGTTGGAGGAGGTGACAGCATTTCAGTAATGGGGGCTGAACAGGACACCCTGCTGGCCTCAGCCATCCTGAAATGCAGGCCTGGCACTGAGTCTTTTCACTTTACCACTTGGCAGGCCTCATCCTGGTCATTTTTCACCACAGAGGCTGTGGAGCCCAGAAGTGTGGTGAGGCGAGAGCCACCCAACCTCAGGGTTGGAGTGTACTGAATTTCATGATATTCCAAGCAGCCCTTTCTACTACATCATGGCCTCTGTGCTGGGGTGGCCCAGTTGGTCAAGGTGTTGACTTCTGGACTCACAGGATGGGCTGTTTCCCTGAGCAATGTGTGGTCCTGACTGGCTGGACTGGGCAGTTGTGTTAACATAATTCTCAACCCTCTCACCCCTTCTCCAGACTAATACACACACACTCTCTCTCTGACTCTCTCTCTGACTCTCTCTCACACACACACGTGCGTGTACGTGCTCATGATGAAAGTTTCAGAAAGTGCTAGGACAACTGTGACCCTAGGAAAACAAAAAATGGCCAGGTTGGTCACAGGGCCATGGTGGTTGTGGATCACCTTGTACTACCTACAAACATTTTAGGTTTTCTGGACATGCTTGTATCTAGATGAAATCCTGTTCCCTAGGGAACATCTTAATAGTAGTTTCTAGTCTGTGAATCAGACTGAGTTAACTCATGTAAGTCTCCTAGCACAGGGCTCATCGGAGACTTACATGAGTTCTATATTTAATCTTTTTATTTTATGTATTATACTGGCATGCTAAAGTGTGGCTTAGAGAATGGGTTGAGTGAAGAGACACTCAGTCCCCCGTCCTTGCTCCATAAGGATGATCACAGCGACACTGTTGAACACCTACGTGTTAAGTTCCCAACTCTGAGCTGTTGTAGGTTCCACATATGCCACGAAATTTTTATTAGGCACCATGAGATATGTATTAATTTCCTCATAGCGTAGCTTAGAAAAATGAAGCTCAAGAAGATCAAAAATCTGGACCAGAGTGACACAGCTAGGCCAGGTGGTACAGAAACACTGACACCCACCTTCACACACAGACATTGAGTACTCCAGCGATGCCCCATGGTCCTGTATTTCTAGGCTGTTGTCTCTGAGTCACAACCTAACAGTGTTAGAGACAGGATGATGGGTGGGCTTCTGGCTGTCTTTCTTTTCAATAGGAAACAAGAGTCACCCCAAAGTCAGTATCATACACAGCCCTCAGCAGACCTGGCATCTTGTTGGCAGCCTGGCCACATGCTCATGCTAAGCTAATGACCAGCCAAGAGCACAGGTTGAATTCCTGTCACTCATGACCATCCCCAACTCTGGCAGAGCCACGGTTTTCCCCAAACCTGTGCCCTGGGGGCAAAAGGTGGAGTCCGAATAGAAGGGAAGGAAGGCAGCCCTCGGCTCTGCCCAGGGCCCTCCTGGACATCAGTGCAATACCATGGAATCCAGCCTTAGACAGGATACATTCTCAGTGTCCCCAGCTATTGTTCATGTGACAGATAACTGCTGTGCAGGTCTCTGAGCCTCAGTTTGAATGACTGTCTGTAAAACTCTACCTATTCCTGTGGGTTTAGGATTACACAATTGGCATTGGGAAGGCCTCCCTGCCACATAGGGAGTTCTCTCACCCATCAGTCTCTCTATTCCTGAAGGCAGGGCTTCAGATTTTAAGGCTGGGCTCTCTTTGAAAGATTTTGCATGATGGATTTGTTGAAAACAAAAAACAACCCATCAAAAAATGGGAGCTGTTAAAGGGGTCTGTGCTTTTTCTTCCCCATAGGGGGTAAGAAGTTTGTTTTTTAAAAGCAGGTGGATAGTGGCTATGTCAGCCTTTCTGCATTCCACAGAGTGGAAAGGGGAACATGCAATATTGTCCCTGTGCTGAGTTGCAGCTGTGGAGCTGTGTGGAAGAAAGGAAGGGAGAAGAAATGGGACAGAGGAGAGAGGGCACTCTGTGCACCCTAGGTTTATGGCCCTCACCAGACAGTTGCCACCACTACATCTCAGTCCGCCACGACTGTCCACATTCCCATCAGCTGAGGAACATAGTGGCTAATTCCAAAGCGAAGGGCAAAAAATGTAGATGCCAAATGCACTAGATAAAAATCTGTTTTGTCCCCCTCACCCCTCCACCACACTGGAACCCTGATGTTCTCCGGCCTGGCAGTGGCTCAGTGATTGAAGATGACCTCAGCTTCCTTGTGTGCTAGCCATGGTAGAACCCCAAGAACCCTGCCAGGCTCTGCTTGCAAGTCTGTCACAAGTCATATTTTCCTTGCCTATAGAGCTTGGGGTGCTTTCCTGAGGATCAAGTGAGATCCATTGCACAGAGCTGCACAAGATAGCCTCACACAACTGTGCAATCATGGGTTTAGTGAGAGCAAAAGATGATGACAACCTAGAAGGACTTCGGTGATCACTGGAGCATCCTCAAGATCCTTACACACCCTCCACTGGTAGCTGCCACCTTTGCCTACTCCTGCCCTTCCCTAACCTTCCCTTCCCTCCCTCAGTGGGGAGGGCTCCGGGCCAATAGCTTTGGTTTCACGGTGTGTGGAACCATCCCTGGGACCTTTGATGTGAGCCTCGCTCTTTTTCCACTAAGATGTCCAACAGCCACAGTTGGTGATCCCCTTGTCTCCTTCACAGACACCCCATGCCGTTTCTTCTGTTTCAGAGCTCCAAGGTCCTGGCCAAGAAGAGCTGGCTTATGTCCCGATCATCGGCTGGATGTGGTACTTCACAGAGATGATCTTCTGCACACGCAAATGGGAGCAGGATCGCAGGACAGTCGCCACGAGCCTGATGCACCTCCGGGATTACCCTGAGAAGTATTTTGTACGTAGGCACCCAAGATGTACTGACTCCTGGGGGACTGTGTGTGGCCACAGCACTGTGTCACTGCAGGAGCATGGGTGAATTCAGAATTGTTTGACCTGGGGTGGTGTGTGACTTTGGGTCTCTGTGTAACCATAGGACTGTGTGGGACCTCAGGACCCTGTGTGACCTGGGTTGTGTGTGATTGTGGGCAATTGTGTGACCTGTGGCTTAGTGACTGTGGGGCTCTGTAGGACTATCAACTGTCATCCCCTGCCTTCTAGTTCCTGATCCACTGCGAGGGCACGCGGTTCACGGAGAAGAAGCACCAGATCAGCATGCAGGTGGCCCAAGCCAAGGGGCTGCCCAGCCTCAAGCACCACCTGCTGCCACGCACCAAAGGCTTTGCCATTACCGTAAGGTGCTTGAGAGACGTAGGTAAGGACGCTGCTGTCCCTGTGGTCTCCCTGCTCCGGCCAAGGGAAGAGCTCGGCACCGTTCCCTGATGGTATGCGCAGCCTGCTTGTGGCCAGGAGCTGGGAGACTGCTAAGTGGGGGCGGGGGGCGGCCTCTGAGGGGATTCAGAATCTGCGATCAGGTTGGTGCAAACACTGCCCTCTGCTGGCAGAGGTGACACCGGAGCAATGCAGAATGTGCTGGGTCAGCCTGACCACGGGGCTACAGCCCCAAGTGAGCCCTTTTGTCTGTTGGGCATTTCTTGCCCCATCTGTTGGCATTGGCGCCTGCAGACAATGAACTGACCATGGTCTGTGGCAGCTGATCTGTGAGTCTGGAGCCCGTAAATGGCTGCCAATAAGAACAGAAGAAAATAGTGACAAATTGCCTCTGGTTTCCCTTTATGCTTTCCTCTGTCTCCTTTTTAATTCTCCTCTCTCCAGTTTAAAATGCCTTCCTTATTCTCCCATGTAGAACCCCTTCTCCCCAGTTCCTACTCTTGGCCGTGGGCTCTACAGTAGACTTGCCTTCCCACTAGGGCCAGGGGAGCCTCCACACAACTCCTAGTCTCTGGGGCCACTCAGTGCTGGGCAGGCCTTCCTGTGCTTCCCGCTGCAGGCCCCCCCGAGAAAAGGCCGGGCTCCATCCCTGCAGGGATAGGGTGGGCCCTGCTCCATTGCCAGAGCCAGGTCAGACCCAGCTTCTGGCCCCATGCTGCCAACTTCCTATTGCCTTGTCCTCATGGGGCAAAGGGCAAGCGCCCCCAAACTCTTCCACAGATTATGTCAAGGATTTAGCCAGGGCACTGAAGGCATGAGCTGGTGAGTTGTCTTCTGGTGTTGCCTCCTTGGGAGCCTCCTGGGGAAGTAAGGGCAGCCTCCAGGCCCAATGTGAAGAATGCCCAGCCTCCAGGCACTCCTGCAGGTCAGCAGGAGGGACCCTCTCCTATTGGCAAAGCTAAGAAACCTGCAGGCCCCACCTGGGTGAGGCAGCAGGTAGAGGAAAATGGATGGTGATTTTACCATTTTTGAATCTTGCTTCATATTCCCAACTAGACCATGTGCCTTTCCACCCTTCCTAGCAGTCCCCACTCCCTTTTTTGGTAGTAACTGCACACATATAAAGCTCAGGATCATTATACAATGAGCACAGGGTGTTGGTCCTGTGTCTGATATCTGTCATCTCAGCCACTGTGTGATGAAGGCATGGTGGCTCTAGTCAATCAGGCTTGGCGGATTGAGTGGCTCTGTGATCCACACCCAGCCTGACTCTAGAACTCCTGTTCTTTCTATTGTTAACACCTGCCTTCCACGCCAGTGAGAGTCCACCTGTTTCCACCATGTATTTCCATACTCTATCACTCATGCCTTCACTTACACTATCTTTAATCCTTTAACCAAATAAGTATTTCTTGAGCTTGGGCCAGGTCCCAGGGCTACAACAGTGACTTCTGACATAACACGCTGACAAGTTAATCCATCACTGAGTAGAACCATTAAAAGCACAGATACTTGTCTCATCCATGTTTCAACTGACAATAATTCAATTCCTTAAAATCTTTCCAGCCAGTATCTTATCCTAGGTTTGTAGCTATCATAGTTTTTCTAAGGAAAAAAATGGCCATAGACTGGTCATGTCTCTGCAACACATTCTTAGATAATATGCTTTGGATTAATTTCTCTTCTTTCCGTATTTGTTTAAATATTGGCATTTGCCGATCGTAACAGGCTCTGCATATTAGAATGCTGCAAATCACTGTCATTCCCTAGATCCAACATTACATTATTAATGCTTTAAAATTGATCTGACCTCAGTAAATTACTATTATCTTTTACTAGGTTATAGTGGGCTTTTTCTGATTGCAAAAGATGATACGTGTTCAATGTAGAAAAACTGAACAATACAGAAAAGCATGAGTAAGTCTACACTTGCGTCGTGCCATTTGTAGATAGCGTTAGTGATCTAACTATGCTTTGCAGTCTGTTTGTCTGCCAAACAAAATTGGGTTCACCTGCTATCTATTGCTTTGTGTTTGTCTTATTTTTATAGTTCCAGCTGTATATGACTGTACACTCAATTTCAGAAACAATGAAAATCCAACACTGCTGGGAGTCCTAAATGGAAAGAAATATCATGCTGACTGCTATGTTAGGTAAGTTGGCTCTACTTCCTTTCCAGAAAAGAGTGTTCATTTCTTAGTTAATAAATCACAAGTGACCAAGAGACCTTCTTCCAGAAACATCTGGTTAATATCTTCTTGCTTGCAGTCTGTTTTATGTTGAACTCGTTAACAATCTATTTATATGCTGAACTCAAGAGACAGATCCTACTACCTAGAATAATCTGGGGAAGACCCCATCCCTTCCAGCTATACTTCTTGATCCTCTTTTACCAGATCCTTCTTATCACAGGGCTGAAGGTGGACCCAGGGAAGATCATATTTTATACTCAACCATTTGGAGATTGAGTGACCTTGTCTGGGAAGATGGGTCGGCTGTGTAGAAATACACAGATAACAGCATAAATACTTTAGAAAGGGGTCTAGATACAAATGGAGAACACTTTTGGAGTGTGTTACTTGTGTTATATTCTAGGCTAATTGTGACTTTATTAAAAACACTTCCATAAGTTATTAGATTAGCCAATTCTTTTTATCTGTTTATAGATTTACCAAATTCCTAATCTCCAGACCGTCACCCAGATTAGTGGGAAGCAGAATTGAAAGATGCTGTAGGTAGCAAAACACAAGTGTGATTTGTGCACTAAGTCAGTGATTTACACATTAAAATCCAATCTGAGCTGGGTCAGAAGCCGCTGGTTTCTTATGCTATACACCACTGTCTCTGAAGGCTGATAACCTCCGAAATACAAATAGAAAACCGTCACATGGTTCATAGCTTTCTGGTTAAAGACCCTCAGATGCCAAATCTCAAAGTGATGCAGTAAGAGCCAAGCCTGCTCACTCCTACTAGGGCAACAAGATGTTTAAGCTTTCCTGGTGAGATCATTTGGTGGCCTGGGAGCCTAAGTTAAATCACTTCCTACCTGGAAATGACTCTGGCTTTCCTACACAGAATAGAAGCACTATCACCATGATCTCTTTTCCAATGGGGTAGCCACAGACTGCCTTACTGCTGAGAGCATGGCAGATGAGAATGGGGGAATCACCCCCTTCCCAAATGAGACCTTCTCCCAGAAGCAAGTTCCTTCAACACTTGGCAGAAGCTCTACCTAGTAGCCAGCTGGACTCTGGCAGGGTGCAAGACTGTTTTACCTCTACAGACCTATTTTCTCAGGTAATTGCAAGTTTCCAGAGCATGTGCAGAATCAGAACACACAGCTAAGCTATCATCCTGTCAGGTTTGCCCAGTTCATGCTCACAGCCTTATAGGAAGATTATTTATGCTAATAAATACGCATCTCTGTGTCATAATCCATTTAGGATGACTGAGGCATTCCTGTCTAATATCACACCGTGGTATAAAGTGTTAAAACATCAAAGGCCTGAGTGTCAAGTGAGTTTTACTGAAAGGAGCAAAATCACCTAAGCTCCCACTATCCAAATAAAGAAATAGTTTGCAGACATTTCTAGTCTTTTTCATGAAAAACATTTAGAGATCAAAAAGAGCAAAGACTGAAGTGACAATTTCATGGAAATACATGTAAGGACAAAACAAGGCCAAGACGCTTCCAGAGGAGTTCACAGGGCATTTTAATTGTGAGGAAGGTAGCTCTGTATAAGGCTGCTAGAAAGAAGGCATTATTCTCATGGTGGTGGCTCACAGCAATCTGTTACAAGATGGACTCTCAGCCCTGTGCCTACAGTGCATCAGTGAGTTCTAAAAACGTCTCTCCTTCCTGAGATATTTCTGGGCACAGGGATGAGTGAAATGCCCCATGGAAAGTCTATGACACACAAACTGCCACGGACAAAAGCAGGTGTAAATGAACATCTCTTGAAGTCACAAGAGCCAGCAGCCAGAGAATGGGCTTGGGAGTGGAGGGGGGACCATGGCAGTGAAGCACCCCCCATTCAGGACAGGCTCTTTGCAAACAGATGAGCCTCTCTCACTCTTGCCACTTCTAGCACCATCCTGGGATCTGAGAATGGCACTGGGGTGCAAAGTGGACACAGGGGTTCCAGATGCCTGGTTTCTTTATTCTAGGGAGGCCTGAGGTCCCTGGCGTTCACATTCTTTGAGGTGTCAAAGCTCTGCAGCTCCTTACTGCCCCAGGGGCCAAGGGGCTGCTTGGTAGGACGTAGCATGCCGTTCCTGGGAAGTCGCCCTCGGCTGAAGGAATAGTGGGTGCACTGTCTCCCGTGCAGCTCTTCTGTGTATGTTTGAGTCTCATGAGGAAACTGAGGCAGCACTGTCCTCTCTGGAAGAGGCAAGTGTCAGGTTTGGGGAGCCAAGGCAGGCGTCTACACTTCTGGTTTTCCACCCATTGACCCCCTCTGCACTTCCTTGCTATCTCTGCTGTTTAGGTAAGCAACCCCATGGCCAGCACCCTGAAGTGCAGGGGGGTGCCCAGCAGGGCCTTCCCACTAGCTACTCTCTGCCTTTGCAGGCGGATTCCCATGGAAGACATTCCAGAAGATGACGACCAGTGCTCAGCCTGGCTGCACAAGCTGTACCAGGAGAAGGTGGGTACACTGGGATGTTGGTGGTCCCTTTCCCGCCACAGCTGTGGATGCCCTATGTGGCCCTGATAAGCCTTTCCTATTGGTGAGATCTCAAAGCCAGCTACTAATGCTAGAGCTGACACTCTACTTGGCAAGAGGGAAAGATGAAGGCAAAATGTTCAAGGGGCTTCACAGAAAGAATGAAACCATTTTGTGTGTGTAGTAGACCAACCTGGAAGTAATGCCCCCATCTCTTCTTGCCTGTGGCCCTCAAGGACACTCTTGTAGACAGGGAGCTCACTTTAACCATTGAGTTGGTCTTGATTGCCTCTGGGTCCATACTTGGGTTGTCTGTTTGACCTGGAGACAATGCCGGAAGCAGGATGCAGCACTTGAAGGTCACTTGGCCCTCCCTTATCTTATGTTTGTCTGCTGTCCAGTTCCCTTGGGCTCCCTACTTGCTCTTGCTTTCCTGAGAGGACCTTGGCTTTCATTGCTTTCCTTCTTCCAAAGACACCTGCAGGATAGCCTATGGGAAATGTTTTGCTGTGACTTATTCTAAAGGAAAGAGAAGTCCTGAGTATGCCCTGTCACCCCCGGTGAGCAACATCCCGCAGACTCTCTTGGCCCTTTATCATTTGTGCAGTCTTCCCTGGGCCTCAGGGAGGCTCCAGGATGTCAGACAGGCTGCTGGGTGGTGGAGGGGTGCTATGCGGAAACTGACAGGAGCCTGTGTTGAGAGGCCAGAGTGACAGTACTGTGTGTGGCCTTGGGGGTGGGGGGGCGCTGCAGGCAGGAAGCTCAGCAGGACACTCACTATAGGCCAGCTGCAGTGAAGTATTTCATTTCAATCTCCCACCAACCTGTCCTGGAAGGAATCACTGCCCCATTGGACAGACCAGGAGCCCAGGCTTAGAGCCTAGAGTCAGGTAGGTATAAGCCAGGCTGGTTGGCCAGAGCTCAGCATCTCCTTCCTGCATGTGGCTGCCTCTCCATATGAAGGGGTAGCCAAGCAGCCCTGAGAAGGCAGTGGATGCCTGCAAAGCTCCTCTGTAAGGTCCTGCAAGAGGGACCCCCATGTGTATCTGGGCTTCCTTAGAAGTGGGGCCTCGGGAGGGAAACATCAGAGCCCAGCATCATGTCTAAGGTCCCCTTCTCTATTCTCCAGGATGCCTTTCAAGAGGAATACTACAGGACAGGTGTCTTCCCAGAGACTCCCCGGGTACCTCCACGGCGGCCCTGGGCCCTAGTCAACTGGCTGTTTTGGGCCTCGCTGCTTCTCTACCCTTTCTTCCAGTTCCTGGTCAGCATGGTCAGCAGTGGCTCTTCTGTGACGCTGGCCAGCTTGATTGTCGTCTTCTGTATGGGTAAGTAGAGAGTGAGAGGCTCAAAGTAGAGTCAGTGGTACCTGTCCTGCTGTCATGTAAGCATCCAGCATGGGGAAGGCAGGGAAGGCCCAAGGAGGATCTCCAAGCAGGCCATGTGCACTGTTCCTGAGGGGCAGGCAGCCTGCCAAGCCACGGAAATGTTCAGAGATGCCTGGAGCCCAGGCCCAGAAAGAACTTCACAACCTGGTTGGTCCCGCCTCTGGTTCAGAGCTGGAATTCCCTCTCCACCTGTTGGAGGGTGAGGCAACGGCTCCCTGAACTACTCCCAGGATGGTACTCTGCCTCCTGTGCCCTGCAGAACTAGCAGATGGTTCTCTGCATTTGAAATGGGCCCAGGCCCCTCACCGAAGTGTCTTCATTGTGACCAAACAAGGATGCTTGGTAGCTACACTTTTCATTATCCACAACCAGTATTGTATGCCAGTATTGTCAAACATCAGTTTCATCTGTACAGTGAGCCTGTGTGCGTGCACATCGCCATTCGTCCCTGAGCTGTCATTGCACCCGATTCTAAAACCAAGGTTGCAGGTGGAGCTGGGTACACGTCCAAGGCTTCAGAGTGTAGGGAGTTGTCCTTGGTTTTCCAAGACTAAGGAGAAATGGCACACAATCCAAGACCAGCTTAGCTGATGCTTACAATTTGTAAGCGGTTTTCCTGGGAGGAATCTTTCGCCCCAGAGTCTGCTTAGGATCCTTCTAACTCCCTCTCCTGTCTCCACAGCCTCCGTGGGAGTTCGATGGATGATTGGTGTGACAGAAATTGACAAGGGCTCTGCCTACGGCAACATCGACAACAAACAGAAACAGAGTGACTGACTCAGGGATGTGTCACCTCCAAAGGGAAACTTGGGGAACTGGTGGCCTCTGCAGAGCCTGCTTATAAGGACACGGTGATTGAAGCTGGGGAGCACCTGCTGGGACAAGCAGAAGTCACAGGCTCTCCAGCCATGGAGTTGAGGCTCAGAGCTAGACGGGGGGAGGAAGATGCTCTTAAATCTTTTTTCCCCATGTGATTTAGCAGGTTTTGGCTTGCTTTCTTTTCACTTGCACATGTGTTTATGCATGTGTGTAAGGCAGAGAGAGAGAGAGAAGGAATGTGCAGTTGTTTATGCACCTGGTTCTGTGATAATTCAAAGGGTATTTGAGGCTGCAGGGGAGGGCAGGGCTGGGGATGGAGGAAAGTGTTCCCTGTCATCCTTTGGTGCTGAGTCTTCTGCAACCTTTGATTGTCAGAGACAGTGAAAAGTGCTTTAGGTAAGATGACTAAATTATGCCTCCAAAAAAAAAAATTAAAGTGTTTGTCTGGGTCATCTGGCGTATACTTACAGACTCTCCTCCTTCCACTCTACCCTGGGCTGGGGTGTTGGAGAAGATGACTAGCTGTGCTTGTCAGTAGGGGCCTGCTGGGCAGCCTGGGATCAGGCGCTCCCCACATATCAACACATTTGGGTGGGTATGACAACAGTGACATTCTGCAGCAAAAGATGTTTAAGGGGGAGCTCCTCAGCATGAAGGCAAAGATGCCAGTGCTGAGACCAGCTCAAGGCTTCCCTGCGACACAGCAAGGCTTCTGAAGGGGAGCTTTGGCTTTCTCAGTCTTGCTGAAATGGAGTCCTCCAGTTTGTCTTGACAATCTGCTCGACTCCCTGAAGAAGGTGGTCTTGAAATAGGACATAAAAATAAAGGCATTCTGCAGGGATATGCAAGATGGCTTCACATCTACTGCTCAGCTCAATAGTAACAGAAGATGGAGAGCCCTCAAAATAAGTGCAGGGTCGTTTACAAAGGTACGTCACGCTTTTCCAGCACCATGGCCAGCCACCCAGGAGCCAATGCTCCTCTGATTACATCCCAAGGATAACAACGCCTTGGGCTCTGCCTGCTTTGGGGTTCCCATCTGCCTTCTATTTTACACAATGGATGGTTTTTACTCTTTAGTGGCTCTGGTGGTCTTGGGAGTGACAGCCAATGGGGAGGACTTCTAAAGACTGTGGACAGCCATCAGAGACCAAAGGCAGAAAGAAGAAAGGAATAAAGAGCAGGAAAGTTCCAAAGGGAAACAATGAAAATACTGGATATTGTATCTTTTTAAGCTAAGCTGCTAATGGCACTTGAATTTATGGGCATTTGAGATGAAACAAGTGTCTCTCCCCAAAGGCAGGTACCACCACCTGGTTACAAACCTATTTTGCTGCAGTTACAGAGGGATGAATTGGCCCATATGAAAGCTGGCCAAACAGTCCACCAAACAGTGACCAAAGTCTTGCCCTTTTCAGTCATGTCTTACATGTTTGCTCAGAGTCACTAAATAACCATGCATGACTGACCTAGGTAAGCCAAGGAGTTACAAGTGTTCCAGAGCTTTCTCTCTGTTTGCTTAAGGGACAATCATGTATTATTGATACAAATAGATGGATGTGAATCTGCAGAGGTGAGAAAAAGAAAACATTCTGGCTTCTTGTGGGACACAGTTGGCTAGCCCAAGCCTAGTTTATACCTGCCGGCATCCCTAAGGTTGAATGAGCCCAGTGCATCTGCCTACCTGTGTATCAGAGCACAGAGATCCATGGGCAAAAGCCTGGGGGTAGCTGCTTGGGCAAGTGGGGCCCTTGGGACGGACACTCAGGCATGTGTGTTGTGTTCTATGAGTGCCCCCTCAGGTTTGTCACTGGTCCTAGGGCCATCCTCAGCTGGAGCCTGAGCCAGGCATCCAGAGGTACCCTCTGAGGTATCCGAGATGTTCTCAAGCTGCACATCCAGATGTCAGATACCACGCTGACATCCAGCAGGCCATACTCCTGCTCAGAGCCTGCTGGTTACCTGTGCAGTGAGAATAACATCTATGCCAAAAAGGCTCAAACACCATTAAGCAGGGTGAAGGATCAGGAAGCTACCGCCATGTTGCCACTTCTTGAAAATGCTCAGCAATCACCTAGTGTACTAAAAGTGGGTCATTTTCTCCTTGTCTTCTGTTCAATACAGAGGTGATTTAAGTTCTAAACACACTTAAAGTCACAACACCTGAGACTCTACAGGGCCCATAAATGTCCACTTTTTTTCTGAATTGCTCTGGTAAAAAACAAAAGAGTAACAAAGAAACTAAGGCTACCGGCTAGTGCCTGTGGTGCCGGGTTGGAGAAATTTTAGGAAGAACCAAGGGCACTAGTATTTTACATGGCCCTGGAACACAAGAGGAGAAAGAATGTGGTGTGCTGGGAGTCTGACAGCTGCTTGTTCACCTTAGAGAGAATCATTAAGCACTGGTACTCCAGAAAAGAACCTTATCACCCTTGCCCACCTCTCCCACTGTACTCCAACCCCCTCAGGTGGAGTGTGCATGGCAATCACTTCAGCAAGTAACTGTTTGGGCTCTCAGAGTATTTATTTTTCTATTAATTAAAAGTCCATGGAGTTTAAGACATCTTTTTGTCCCCTAAGTAGAGTGCCATGGACTGAGAGCTTCACTTCTTGTTTGTCTAGCATGCCCATCTTTGGCAGAGCTCAGGTCAACTCTGCTGACAGCCTCTTCTGCAATTTAAGATGGCAGAGAAAAAGTAGGAACTTATACTCTATCAAGAAAGCCATGTGAGGTCAGGGTCTAGAACTGCGGGGCACATCCCAGACTCCTGCAGCCTGAAGGCGGGAACTTAAGCACTTCTAAGACATGAGGCATTTTCTTTGCGACTCGAGGTGTGAGCAGGAAGAACAGTCTGGTGCTGCTAAGTCACACAACTAGTTGTGGAGGAGGATGTGAGCGACGCCCACCGTGAGACTATCACCTAGCACCCTTTCACAGAGAAGGCAAACTTTCTCAAGTGGCCATACGTAGTACTGGAACATCTCAGCTGCCTTATTCTCTAGATAAATGTAAGCTAAACCTTGAAAGAGCAACTTACAACTTAAAAATCTAAAAACACCAGTGTTCTTCTAATATATGCATCTGCATATGTGTATCTGACAATGATTACGTGAACTCTGATGAAAACTGGCCAGGGAAGTTCTTGCAGCACGCTGTAAACTGAAAAACTGCCCAGCCAGCCCAGGAAAAGCAGGGTGGGCTCCACACCAACTTTAGAACATACCCGTAAAGAAAATAGAAGTGGAGAAAGGTGGCCAGTCAGAGTTCTGTGGAGGCCCTACTCCTGCTCAAAACAAGAACGTGGACCCAGCACTCTCCAAAGCACTGTGGACTTCTCACATATTTGCTAGGATACAGTTGAAGAGGGAAAAGCAAACACTGGGTTCAGCAGGTCCTGGGGAGCATAAGGAACGTCCTGTGTGGAGGAATACTCAGTGCCACATTGAGCTGCATTAGTGTTTGAAAACGTGTGAGCTGAGACATGCCACACTCCTGCCTGCTCATGTCTAGCTGACTTCCAGGCCATCACATCCTCCCTAGAGTGACCGGAAAAGGACTTGCCAAAGGCAACTGCCCACATGACTAAGAAGTCACTCATGTTGTATGTGTTTGGCCTCCATTAGCAACTGTTTTACAACACCTTAACTGAAGTGGTTCTCGAGTGCTGCTTACAGGGAATGAAATAAAGCACAAATATGCTACACTCGGTGATGAGCTGGCATCAACCCTTTCTGACACCTTGGACCTTGCCATGGCTTACAGCAGTGAGCAGAAGAGACAGCTATGATGACAGATGCTGTCAAATAGGACTGACGGTCCCAATGACGGCCTTGACTCTTGTTTTGATAAACACTCTTACTCAAAACAAAAAGGTTCTAATGTTTACTGTCTGGCTTTGGGCGTGAGCTGACTGTCCAGGCGGACAGCATGCATGTAGTAACTAAAACACCTGCTTTGTTGCATGGCCGTGTTAGCAGAGACCAGCGTCTGGCCTCTCAAACTTGGGTCTCTTTACCCTCTGCCAAGCTATCACTCAGGGACTTCCTCTTGGTTCTTCCCCATATAGATATGGTGTCTTGCAAGGATGTCAGAAATTGGTTGCCTCAGCAGGGTGATTTCCTAAAAATACCTTCAGAGATTTAACTGAAAATAACTTTCTGAATAATTTCTCTATTTTGGTCAGGATGAATAAGGCTCCAATCCGACCCTTGCTGTGCATGCTACACAGAAGGGTCAGGCCAGCAATCTTTGCGAACAGTAGTTCTCCAGTTAGGCCTGTGAAGAAGGCAAGGGACTCCATCAGCACAAAACTCCAAGCATGCCTGGCACCCGCCAGCACTCTCCATGCTCTGTCACCACGCAAGCCCCAATTCGTGACTTCAGCACCTCAACTGGGAGTGTGAGCTTAAAAACCAAACGCTTCAGGTGTTTTGGGGTCTTTGCCTTTCAAAAGGCTTTGAAGCAGTGGACAGACCATTCACAAGAAGGTAAAGCTATCTTTACCTTCTCATGAACAGTGTTACTTTCTCACTGGGCCCAGGACACTGGGCACCATTCATAGCATCTGTCAACAACTGGCATAGTCTCACTAGGCTATCACCTCTGAGCAGGGATGACGCAGTGCCTGCCCTGTTCTTCTACCATGGCCACAGGAAAGGGCACTTACTGAGAAGCCTCAACAACTGAATTTCCATGGTCTTAGACTGCCTCTCCTGAAGCAAAAAAAAAAAAAAAAAA